CGTCGTTCGTCAAGGATGTATGACTTGACACGCAGCCTGGTTGATTGCTAATTTAAGCGCACAGCTTTTAGTCAATCCGATTCGGCCCTGGCTATGGGGTTCTTCAACCGGTTCGTGCATCGCACCACTTCCCCGTGGCTCCATGCATTCCTTTCTGGCGCAGAGCTGGTCAGGGTCAGGGACACGACCGGAAGAGCTCTGTAGCGCACGTGGCCAAGGCCATCGTCGCGGCCAGCTTCGCCTGGTCCGTCTGGCTCGGTTGAATGGCCAACCTGTGAAGTGAGGTGACTCGTGGTTTGTATATGTGCCGAATGTTTCCCTCCGGTTGTTTATAACGTCGGCCCTCGACATCAGAGGCTGTTCGCGTCTTGACAGAGACAGTTTCTCACCACGTGATGAGGTTGGCGGGGTACTTCGTCTCAGCTGATGTGCGAAATCGCCAGGAACTGCCTGTGGCTGTGCGAAGGTCACGGACGGGGTAGAGCTGCACCTGATCAGAACAGCTGTGCTGGGGGGAGACTTCCTTTGAGGAGAGGGGTGGGGAGCTAACGAGGCCGCAGTGTCTCGCGGACAGCTGTGGGGACACCTGATAGCTGCAGGTGGATTACGTCCTCCCTGCAAGCTATGACGCTGTGCATGGATTTAAGCGGAAAATCTAACCACCATGGTCCTTTGTGGTACTCATAATCGGATCTGCAAGGCTTTGTTCTGAATAGGCCATCATTTGTTATGTTTGGTCTGGATGGACCTGCAAGCCCTGGAAAGTTTCAGACTATACCCCGGGGGTCGCTGTTGATTTTGCGAGGCACTTGGGTAGTGGGTACTCATGTCTGGAGGTTGTTTTCATGGCTGATGGCTCTTGCTCTCTCCCTGTCTCCTCTCTCCACTCCTCGCCCAAGAGTCACGCTCTCACTATCGGTCGTTTCGTGACGCTCGTGAGTTACGGGAGTCGCCGTGACGCCAGTCACGGACATCTCACCGGGTCTGTGCGGCCGAAACTAGACCGAGGTCACCCTCCAGCGGAGTCGTCTTTGGGCCTCCTTCGCCCCTCTTCACCTACTTAGCGTAACACTATCATATGCCAAGACTGAGGACATTTGCTTGAAGTCCTTACAATGGAAGTCGGTCAAAGAGCAATGCGTTCTGTCTCACGATCTCTATCTGTCCTTTTGGGGTCAAGTCTCTTGAAATTATGTTGGCGACGCACCGTCCGCGACCTGACTCGCATATCCTTCCAGTCTGACATGTTCTGCTCGAACCTCCAACGTCTGATGACCTTGCGATGGTGACCGTCTATGCACTGAGCACCGTGCAAACCATGCATTGTGCAGTGTGCACGGCTCAGTTGGGACGACCTCGCACGGCCCCGCAGTCGGCTGGGTTGCGATGAGCGATGACTCAGTCGCCAGTCGCTCGTAGGTCCATCATCAGATGTGGCGGACCCGGTTGGAGCGGGCCGGCGCCAACCGGTCGGTTGGTGGGTCCGGTCCGTGACCGGTGTGTGACGTCACTGGCCGGTGTGTGACGTCATTCACAGCCAGGTATGGGGCTGGTCAGCTGGTGGTTACTGGGTAGATGAGGTTTCTATGGAGCCTTGGGTTAGATCGTCTCGGGAGCTAGTTATGGTAGACGTATCAGCCTGCGAGTGTGGAAAGAAAGGAACAAACAAAGAAGCGATAAATGAATCAGGTAACTGGGAAGGTGAGAATCATGTCTCTACCCATGAAACTGTTGCACAGAGCAAGTCTTCGAACTGCTCGCGTGGGGTCTCCTTATCTACCACCGATTACGACGGACCTTTACTGCAGTAGGGGAGGGGAGGGCACGACCTCCTCTCACCTCCGCTGTGGTCTGTTATCGACTAGCTCTCCCACCGAGATCGAGATCATGTGCCTATCGCTGGGTCAGCCCCGCACTCGCTGCGACCTGGTGTTGGCTGATTCACAATCAGTGCCACGTTGCCGCCCGTCTGCTGACGTCACTGGGGGATTGTGTGACGTCACTGGTGGATCGGATGACGGTGGAAGGGGTGCGTGCTGTCACACCGCTGTCACGGAAGGGGCTGAATTGGGTGGAGCGGTGTATTATTGAAGCTCATGGCGCTGTCAGGCCGACGCAATCAGTGAGCTCTGCTACATGCATTATTTATCAGCCAATCTGGGCGCCAATCTTGGTGGACACGGAGGCAAGGATTTGAGATCCCTGTGATGGAAATTCTTTGCAATATTTTAGAACATATTTTGTAGATTTAGTACCCGGAGAGGACACTGCGGCTCATATTGGCCCCTTGTTTTGTCTTGTTTTCCCTTGTTTCCTACTCCGATTCTCATGCCCAGTTCCCATCTACTGTTCCTCACTTTCGTTCGGATCTCGCAACTCTGTCGAGCCGCGCAGGACAGTCATGTGTTCCTTGCAAACAGCCTATCGCAAGTGCGGCCGGTCCGTACATGGTGCACGAGGAAAAGCACCGGTACGGGACGGGGTATCACCCACCCGGACGTGGCTTGCGGTGGTGGTGAAGGGGGCAGGGACAGATGGGCGGATAGGATAGGATAGGATAGAAGGACGGACGGGCGGAGGGAGGAGATTTTACACAATAATGGGAACCTAGTCCCTAGGTTCATCGTGCCACGGCATATATTTCTTGGAAAAGCTAATCGTTCATTGACTAATAATTTCATTTTACTGCTCACATAACTAGTGTCTCTCGCCGTTCCTGTAAAATGACTGAAACGTCTGATTTGGGAGTCGTGCTGCGTATGCACCCCAAAGACAGCATCCCCTCGCTGCTAGTACGCTATATACAGCGTTATGTTTCGAGGAAAATGCCCTGGCCGACTCGCTTGAGTCTCTTGAGGCGGACAACCAGCGCTGGATCAGTTGTCACGGAAGCTTACTGGGCTAGGGAGCGGACAAGTTTGGCTATTCGGGGACCAGTTCCTTGTAGCCAGACTGACGCACGGGTGTGGGTCACGAAACGGCAGTGAGCTAGAACGCTGACACGGGCCAGTTATAACGTCGAGGACCGATGTGTCGTAACTTCCCAACACTAACAAATGACCAACCTCAAATAGCTGAAGCTGCAATTCCAGTGAAGAGCATGCGTATGCCATGACCTTTTCGCTGGTGAACCTTCTGACCCCGGTGTGTGTGATTATAACCTCATGGCTAATGACAAGATATCTTACATGGCTAATGACAAGATATGTGACAGAAATACACGGTGGTTTGAAGGTTCGTTATTAAATATTTACGTACAAGGTCCATCGTTCAGGCAATGCCAAGGTTTCGTTTGGATTGTAAGCGTTCGTACCGTCTGCGTCTCGTGAGTTCAATGGATAATTTCTGCTCCATCGCTCTTCGAATCGGGTGTTGGCGTGTCGCCTCTCGTTTGACCAAGTTTACAGTTTTTCCTTGAACCTTGGCTTATCTCTGAAGATCTCTCGTCATGCCAGCAGCCGTTGAGAGCATTTGGATGGTGACAGGTCATTGGTTGCTAAACCAGGGAAAGCAGTTAACCTTTTTTCCTTGACCCTTGCCAGCAGCCGTTGAGACTTGAGAGCTCCGTCCTGGATGCTGTGATCTCATCGGCTGCTGAACCATGGATACGTTGTGCAGCGTTGTCCCATCGTTCTGCTTCGTCAGCTATATTCGTATGCCCTTTACTCGCTATACCCGCTGAGCTGGCACTAGTAATCAGACCCCCGCGATGGGGAGGGGAGGGGCACGGGACGCCCGTATCACTCAGTACTCGCACCTGTACCCCCCCCCCCCCCGAGGACGCGGCAAGGTCGCAGCTGAAGAGGACGGGGGCGGGGATGGGTGGGGGTCAACAGCGGGACCTTAAACTGTTAAGATAAACACAGATACGAGTATGATTATTAACACAGAAATAAACTTTGATTAGAAGCACGATTCTTCAGCGTGGATGATGTGTATTGTGTAATGAACCACAATTCTGGTGTCATTTTGATTCACGATATCGATAAGATCAGTTGCTTGGTGTTAGGTTCAGCGCAATTCTATAGCAGAAGTTTTTTTTGTTCTATTGAAAAAAAACAAATCCGAGTTCTCGGCAAAATTTTGCAGAAGCATAAAGCGCTAAATCGTTTGGCAGAGAGACGAAGAGTGTTTTCTTTGTTGCTGCTGCAGACCTGTCAAGTCGTCTGGGTGGGTGACCCGTCCACCCACTGCGCGTTCGGGGCGCTGGCCGGAGGGCTGCGGCGTTATCAGTGACCCAGTGACGTCACAAATACGTCACGACGTGTCGCAATGCCGCCGCACAGCACGTGCCGGAGTGTGTGTTCGTCACCACTTGTTCGTCATCACTTGGGACAGGCGACACGGATGAATGGGGCGCGGTGTGGTTAATGAATGAATGAATGGATAATGAATGAATGAAAGAGTCCAGGGATTCGTAGTTGAATATGTAGCGGAAACAGTCCGTTGCATGTGGTAACGCGTAATGCTGAGCTTATCAACACGTGGAGAGAGACTTGGGGTTTGTGGTGCTAACTGCTACCCCTTGCAGTGTGTTGGGTATAGCCGTTATGTGCGCCGATCAGTGACGCCTATTTTAACTAAAAACGTTCTGGGGATTTGGTTTCCATCAATGTCACTGAAATATTAATGAAAGTTTGTTAGCTATTGCTTAATTAGACCGCAATATTACCTACCGTTTGTTATTGTTTTTTTTATGTCATAATCTTTGATGTGTAGATTACAAATTATGTTTCATCCTACCTCATTTGTCGGCAAAACAGGAGGCCCTCGCCGACCCTTCTCACCACACAAGGTACCAATTACCTCTAACCCCCCCCCCCGTTGTGTTCTCCGGCCTTTCTCACCATACTTTATTCGACCCCACCTCTAACTTTCCCGTGTCTGTCGACCTTTCTTGCCACGCTTGATTCGACACCATTGCTGGCTGCCCCCTCGCGTTTTCCCCACGCTTAATTCGACCTCATTGCTGACTGCCCCTCTCGTTTTTCGGTCGACAGGGCCCGATGTGCGACCTGCTGTGGTCGGACCCGGACGACCGCGGCGGCTGGGGCATCTCGCCGCGCGGAGCCGGATACACCTTCGGCCAGGACATCTCGGAGACGTTCAACCACAGCAACGGCCTGACACTCGTCAGCCGGCCCATCAGCTCGTCATGGAGGGATACAACTGGTCAGTGAGGAGTGGAGGGGGCTGCGGGGGAGGGGAGAGGGCCCATCAGCTCGTCATGGAGGGATACAACTGGTTAGTGAGGGGTGGAGGCATTCTGGGCTTTTCTCTGTACTTGGGAGGGAGACAGCATGTTGATGGTCGTAAAGTGAGGGATAAGCTAGTCAGTGGATGGTTGTACTCTGATAGGAAGGAAAAGTCATGGAGGGATACAGCTGGTCAGTGAGGAGGGATCTCGGTGGTTATACTATGGGAGGAAGGGAAAGACATCCGAGCTCGTTATGGAGGGATGCAACTGAACAATGGACGCCCAGGCGTTCGTTGTTTGGGAGGGCAGGACTCGTGGGCTCAGGGAAAGATAGAGGGTAGTGTATAGTGGATGCTGGTCAGTCCATGGAAGACCCGGCGCTGTTTTCTGGTAATATGAGAGGACTGGGTTTAGGAAGGGGTGGCGGCTATCACTGGCCAGTAAAGTGGACGGTCTCGTGGCCCGTGGGGCAAGTGGACGTGTTCGTTATAAAGGTAGTCCGATATCTCTATGTGATAGTCTGCGATCTAACCAACAATGGTTCGATGATATTGAAGTGGCTACCTTGGTCGATTATAAGCTACTGCAATATCCTTGATTGATATGAATGTTGAGATTGCGACACATACTTTTTCAGAATGGATATGATATTGCGATAGTTGTATTAATACTCCATTCGAGCTTACATTCTCCGTTTTTTCCCCGCTGTTTTCAGGTGCCACGACCGTAACGTGGTGACGATTTTCTCTGCCCCCAACTACTGCTACCGCTGCGGTAACCAGGCAGCCATCATGGAGCTCGACGACGCACTCAAATACTCATTGTAAGTGGCGCTAACACTGGCTCACAGTTCACACTCAAATACTCATTGTAAGTGGCGCTCACACTGGCTCACAGTTCACACTCAAATACTCATTGTAAGTGGCGCTCACACTGGCTCACAGTTCACACTCAAATACTCATTGTAAGTGGCGCTCACACTGGCTCACAGTTCACACTCAAATACTCATGGAGTGGCGCTCACACTGGCTCACAGTTCACACTCAAATACTCATTGTAAGTGGCGCTAACACTGGCTCACAGTTCACACTCAAATACTCATTGTAAGTGGCGCTCACACTGGCTCACAGTTCACACTCAAATACTCATTGTAAGTGGCGCTCACACTGGCTCACAGTTCACACTCAAATACTCATTGTAAGTGGCGCTCACACTGGCTCACAGTTCACACTCAAATACTCATTGTAAGTGGCGCTCACACTGGCTCACAGTTCACACTCAAATACTCATGGAGTGGCGCTCACACTGGCTCACAGTTCACACTCAAATACTCATGGAGTGGCTCTCACAGGCGCAGCAGGGGGATGGTCGAGGGATGTCGGAAAGGAGTTATTTTTTGTCTAGCTACGGTGAAATAATAAGTTTCTGGGTGGTTTAGCCATTTTTTAAATAGAAATAAAGTATTTTCACGACATCTTGGAAAATATGATCAAATGCAGAATGTATTTATTTAAAATTACAATAGTAAATAGCGCTCCTGCCGTATTTTTCACTGTGCACTGAAGTATTACGCTAGTAATGAACCACTGTCATGTTGTATAGCATAAACAGTAGCCTGTTACATACAAACCGATCTCCATTATCCGTTTGTTCCGTCACCGATGTTTATTCTTTATAAAGACGGTGTTTCATAATGCCCCATCTTACCCCGTCCCTTGCCGTTTTTTCAGCCTTCAGTTCGACCCAGCTCCGCGACGTGGAGAGCCTCACGTCACCCGACGCACGCCAGACTACTTCCTCTAGAGGGTGTCCGGACCGCGAGCTCTGCGCCTCCCCACGGCCGTTGGACGCTCTGCCGCCCGCGGCGTGAGCCAACTCGGCCGGTGGGGCCGCCAGAGCGACGTGGTGGACGGGGTTGATGACAAGATCCGGCTGCCTGGAGGCAGGAGCCGTGCAGTGAGGAGGAATGGTTGGTCGGAGCGGCGGCGGCGGCGCGCGGGATGAGAGAGACTGTACGGTCGTGGACGCGCGCGGCGGCGGCGGCTGTGGCGAGGAGGCGGCGTGTGTGGTGCGACAGGCGGCGAAAAGTGACGCGATGTGTTGTAAGGGACAAACGAGGCAGCAATGGAGCTTTGAGTGTCGTGACAACATCCATCTGTTTGGACTGCCATCGCTGGTAGTGAGGAACATCCACTGACGGTCCATCAGCGTCAAGTTGTGGTGACAAGTACATGACGACTGCGGGGACACTGCACGGCGTCTGATTCCGTACATCGGAAACACGAGCTCAGCGTCTGCACTGCTCTGAGAGCGACACCTCCGGCTTAATGAATCGAGCCAGCAGGAGTTGTGCATCGCTCCGCAGTGACTCGCGAGCCTGTTGAGTCGTAAGTCCTCGCCCAGACTCCTCGTGATTCTCGCCCCAGTCCTTGCGAGTGCTTATCCCAGAGTCATCGCGAGTTTTTGGTCCGATTTGGACAGCTCCTCGTTGTGTTGGTCCGCCTCGCCTCGTGTGCAGCAATCGTGAACGTCCTGTGTTCAATGTGTCTGTGGTGTGTGAATGTCGCGTCTCCCCCGCCCGCCCGCCCGCCGCCGCCGTCCGCGTCGTGTTGCCAATATGACGCCCTCGTGACGAGGGCTGATGTGGGCCGACCGCGCCGTCGTCCCGGGTCACGTCAGGTCATGTCAGAAGAAAGAGAGACGAGAGACAGAGGGTCAGAGACCGTTGTGTATATGTGCGCACTCGCGAGAGACTTCTTTCCCTGTCGGTCCCATTCGCTCGCGCCCCCTGTATCTGTCAAACAATCGCGCGATACACACACAGACACACACATACACACACAGACATAACACGCCGGCGCAGTGCCGCGGCAGCCAGCGATCACGGCGTTAGGTATTTCGGTTAGTCGGTTCGACGAGACTGTCGAGTTATCGGCAGTCTCAGTCGACTGAGGCGGACCCCGTGTACGGGGGCGCGATGTTGAATATACTAATAAATTGTCGTGCTAAAATGGGCGTTTTGTCTGTGAGTGAAGTGCGAGCGAAGAGCAGAGTTGAAATGACGAGAGGGAGAAGTGTGGGGTCCCATAACTGATAAGCGTTCGAGGCCGAAAACCAACATTATTTCTGAGAGTGGAAGGTGCACTTATTTGTTGTTTGTTTTGTTGGGTTAGGCCCTATGCAATTATTACAAAGGTAGTAACTAGGTATAGTGACACCCTGTGAAATCCCGTGAATGTGGTTTTGGCATTTACACGTGCTGCGCAATGCACATTTTGAGGTAAAAGTCCGCAAGATTACATTGCTGGAAGTGGCCAAATATATACACGCGTTACATCGAACAGCCCATCAATAGTTGGGTAATATGCATTCTAAATTAATAATTAATAGCTGGGTTCTGATAAAATCGAAGTGCTTAGCCTAGCAGATAAGACGTAGCACGATGGTTTAAAGCTGACCTGAGTCAAGGTCATGGCATGATCGAAAAGGTCGTTTAGCATAGCAGTGGATCCGTATCGTTGAACTGACCGCGTGCAAGGTCAAATATTTATTGTCCCTTTACTGAGCACCTCCAAGTTTTTTTTTTTCAGAAACACTTCGTAGTTCGTGGTGACTTTTCTTTTCTTCACCTGCCATGACCTCGGCGGTGTAAAGAAGTGAAGGGTGCAAGTTAAAAATTAGAAAGAAATCAAAAATGAATCTATTGGAAAGCAACTTTCGTTGGAAAGAGACGCAGTTAACCTTCCAGGCGGTGGGGGGGGGGGCAATTTTTTGCCCCCCCTTTAGTTTTTTTCGATATATCTCGAGAACCGCTGCGCCGATCGTCACCAAACTTTCAGTACCCTCCCGGGAGCAGCTAGCGCACATGGTGACCAAAAATTTTTCCAAAGGCTATGATAGGTTGGCCGCTAATGACGTCAGAGTGACGTCATTTTTGCCATTTTCGACCCAAAAAAAGGTTTCGCGGGAAGAGCTGTCAGGCCTACAGCTTTAGAGATACAGAAAAATGTTTCAGACATAAAAGGTGTGGAATTAAAAGGGCTACAAAACTGCTTTTCGGTTTTTCGAATTTTTTGGATTTTGACCCCCAAAAATCAAAAAATAGATTTTTTGAATATAATAGCCAAAAAATCCAAAAAGTTTTTTGAATTTCGAAAAGAAATGGAATATATGTGATAGCCCCCACCGCCTTCTATCTACATACCAAATTTGAGATCGATACCTCTTTTTTGGCCAAGTTATAGCGAAAAAACTGTTTAAAATTGATGACGTCAAATTTTCAAACTCAATTTTTAGCAATTCTAGACCTCGTAGCGCAAAACAAAAGACCACCATTAGACTCTCCGTGACGAGCTGCATCGAATCGATACCCATTTTATGCAAAAATATCAACTTTGAAATTTGACCTTTTTTGACCTGACCTTGACCTGACCTCCACCAGAAAGTGACCTAAACCGTACCTGATGGTCTTATAACCAACACCATTGAGTTGGAAATGAAAAACTGGCCATAAAACATGCATCGCATAACCTTAGTAAAGTTGGGCTCATGTGGTGACCCTTGGTGACCTTTGGTGACCTGACCTGTGACCTGACCTGGTATGACCAGTGACCTCTAATAGCAACATATGTACTAGAAAACTGACGCTTTATCGCTGATTTTCGACAAAATGCGTTTTACTCGGTGTTATAGCGCTTTCCCTAGAAGCCCCGTGAACGGTGAAACATTTATTTGACCTGACCTGTGACGTCATCGGTGACCCCGAGGTCAATGAAATTTGGTTTCCCTCTACAAAATTTTACAGGGCTATCGAACGCCGTTTGAATTTTCCGGATCCGTCCAGTAGTTTCGGAGATACGGGGGGGGGGGCAAAAAGTGCCCCCCCCCCACCGCGCGGAAGGTGGCTGGTAGGCCCACCGCCTGCCGGGTTAAGTAATACGAGTACTTCGTTACTTTGCGCCCACCAGGTAAACCTTATGACAGGTCATAATATTAACCTGACCAGTGACCTTGGGTCATCGATATACAGTTCCGAGGTTTACGGCTTCTGGAGGCGGTCATGAAGCAAGTTGCCATTCGATTGATTCGATCGAGTACGACCATAGATATATCTATATGTAAAGACGTGCGACGTGCTGTGGGGCGCATCGGCGGCGGGATCTCGCTGTGTATGAATCGAAGTTCGAACTTCTAAAAAATATGTGTTCGCGCGGAAAGAAGTGTAAAAAAATGCACTACATACTCGTACATAAGTTAGTAGTAATAGACAAATATATATGAGACGGGTTACACAGCACATTGGGTGGACGCGTTTCGTCTAAATGACTTTTTCGACACCCTCTCGGAAATTAAAACAATACAAACATTTTCTTTTTTCCGAGAGGGTGTCGAAAAAGTCATTTAGACGAAACGCGTCCACCCAATGTGCTGTGTAACCCGTCTCAATATATATATTTGTCTATTACTACTCAACTTATGTACGAGTATGTATGTGCATTTTTTTACACTTCTTCCGCGCGAACACATATTTTTTAGAAGTTCGAACTTCGATTCATACACAGCGAGATCCCGCCGCCGATGCGCCCCCACAGCACGTCGCACGTCTTTACATATAGATATATCTATGGTCGTACTCGATCGAATCAATCGAATGGCAACTTGCTTCATGACCGCCTCCAGAAGCCGTAAACCTCGGAACTGTATATCGATGACCCAAGGTCACTGGTCAGGTTAATATTATGACCTGTCATAAGGTTTACCTGGTGGGCGCAAAGTAACGAAGTACTCGTATTACTTAACCCGGCAGGCGGTGGGCCTACCAGCCACCTTCCGCGCGGTGGGGGGGGGGGCACTTTTTTGCCCCCCCCCCCGTATCTCCGAAACTACTGGACGGATCCGGAAAATTCAAACGGCGTTCGATAGCCCTGTAAAATTTTGTAGAGGGAAACCAAATTTCATTGACCTCGGGGTCACCGATGACGTCACAGGTCAGGTCAAGATAAAATGTTTCACCGTTCACGGGGCTTCTAGGGAAAGCGCTATAACACCGAGTAAAACGCATTTTGTCGAAAATCAGCGATAAAGCGTCAGTTTTCTAGTACATATGTTGCTATTAGAGGTCACTGGTCATACCAGGTCAGGTCACAGGTCAGGTCACCAAAGGTCACCAAGGGTCACCACATGAGCCCAACTTTACTAAGGTTATGCGATGCATGTTTTATGGCCAGTTTTTCATTTCCAACTCAATGGTGTTGGTTATAAGACCATCAGGTACGGTTTAGGTCACTTTCTGGTGGAGGTCAGGTCAAGGTCAGGTCAAAAAAGGTCAAATTTCAAAGTTGATATTTTTGCATAAAATGGGTATCGATTCGATGCAGCTCGTCACGGAGAGTCTAATGGTGGTCTTTGTTTTGCGCTACGAGGTCTAGAATTGCTAAAAATTGAGTTTGAAAATTTGACGTCATCAATTTTAAACAGTTTTTTTCGCTATAACTTGGCCAAAAAAGAGGTATCGATCTCAAATTTGGTATGTAGATAGAAGGCGGTGGGGGGCTATCACATATATTCCATTTCTTTTCGAAATTCAAAAAACTTTTTGGATTTTTTGGCTATTATATTCAAAAAATCTATTTTTTGATTTTTGGGGGTCAAAATCCAAAAAATTCGAAAAACCGAAATAGCAGTTTTGTAGCCCTTTTAATTCCACACCTTTTATGTCTGAAACATTTTTCTGTATCTCTAAAGCTGTAGGCCTGACAGCTCTTCCCGCGAAACCTTTTTTTGGGTCGAAAATGGCAAAAATGACGTCACTCTGACGTCATTAGCGGCCAACCTATCATAGCCTTTGGAAAAATTTTTGGTCACCATGTGCGCTAGCTGCTCCCGGGAGGGTACTGAAAGTTTGGTGACGATCGGCGCAGCGGTTCTCGAGATATATCGAAAAAAACTAAAGGGGGGGCAAAAAATTGCCCCCCCCCCCACCGCCTGGAAGGTTAACTGCGTCTCTTTCCAACGAAAGTTGCTTTCCAATAGATTCATTTTTGATTTCTTTCTAATTTTTAACTTGCACCCTTCACTTCTTTACACCGCCGAGGTCATGGCAGGTGAAGAAAAGAAAAGTCACCACGAACTACGAAGTGTTTCTGAAAAAAAAAAAACTTGGAGGTGCTCAGTAAAGGGACAATAAAATATTTGACCTTGCACGCGGTCAGTTCAACGATACGGATCCACTGCTATGCTAAACGACCTTTTCGATCATGCCATGACCTTGACTCAGGTCAGCTTTAAACCATCGTGCTACGTCTTATCTGCTAGGCTAAGCACTTCGATTTTATCAGAACCCAGCTATTAATTATTAATTTAGAATGCATATTACCCAACTATTGATGGGCTGTTCGATGTAACGCGTGTATATATTTGGCCACTTCCAGCAATGTAATCTTGCGGACTTTTACCTCAAAATGTGCATTGCGCAGCACGTGTAAATGCCAAAACCACATTCACGGGATTTCACAGGGTGTCACTATACCTAGTTACTACCTTTGTAATAATTGCATAGGGCCTAACCCAACAAAACAAACAACAAATAAGTGCACCTTCCACTCTCAGAAATAATGTTGGTTTTCGGCCTCGAACGCTTATCAGTTATGGGACCCCACACTTCTCCCTCTCGTCATTTCAACTCTGCTCTTCGCTCGCACTTCACTCACAGACAAAACGCCCATTTTAGCACGACAATTTATTAGTATATTCAACATCGCGCCCCCGTACACGGGGTCCGCCTCAGTCGACTGAGACTGCCGATAACTCGACAGTCTCGTCGAACCGACTAACCGAAATACCTAACGCCGTGATCGCTGGCTGCCGCGGCACTGCGCCGGCGTGTTATGTCTGTGTGTGTATGTGTGTGTGTCTGTGTGTGTATCGCGCGATTGTTTGACAGATACAGGGGGCGCGAGCGAATGGGACCGACAGGGAAAGAAGTCTCTCGCGAGTGCGCACATATACACAACGGTCTCTGACCCTCTGTCTCTCGTCTCTCTTTCTTCTGACATGACCTGACGTGACCCGGGACGACGGCGCGGTCGGCCCACATCAGCCCTCGTCACGAGGGCGTCATATTGGCAACACGACGCGGACGGCGGCGGCGGGCGGGCGGGCGGGGGAGACGCGACATTCACACACCACAGACACATTGAACACAGGACGTTCACGATTGCTGCACACGAGGCGAGGCGGACCAACACAACGAGGAGCTGTCCAAATCGGACCAAAAACTCGCGATGACTCTGGGATAAGCACTCGCAAGGACTGGGGCGAGAATCACGAGGAGTCTGGGCGAGGACTTACGACTCAACAGGCTCGCGAGTCACTGCGGAGCGATGCACAACTCCTGCTGGCTCGATTCATTAAGCCGGAGGTGTCGCTCTCAGAGCAGTGCAGACGCTGAGCTCGTGTTTCCGATGTACGGAATCAGACGCCGTGCAGTGTCCCCGCAGTCGTCATGTACTTGTCACCACAACTTGACGCTGATGGACCGTCAGTGGATGTTCCTCACTACCAGCGATGGCAGTCCAAACAGATGGATGTTGTCACGACACTCAAAGCTCCATTGCTGCCTCGTTTGTCCCTTACAACACATCGCGTCACTTTTCGCCGCCTGTCGCACCACACACGCCGCCTCCTCGCCACAGCCGCCGCCGCCGCGCGCGTCCACGACCGTACAGTCTCTCTCATCCCGCGCGCCGCCGCCGCCGCTCCGACCAACCATTCCTCCTCACTGCACGGCTCCTGCCTCCAGGCAGCCGGATCTTGTCATCAACCCCGTCCACCACGTCGCTCTGGCGGCCCCACCGGCCGAGTTGGCTCACGCCGCGGGCGGCAGAGCGTCCAACGGCCGTGGGGAGGCGCAGAGCTCGCGGTCCGGACACCCTCTAGAGGAAGTAGTCTGGCGTGCGTCGGGTGACGTGAGGCTCTCCACGTCGCGGAGCTGGGTCGAACTGAAGGCTGAAAAAACGGCAAGGGACGGGGTAAGATGGGGCATTATGAAACACCGTCTTTATAAAGAATAAACATCGGTGACGGAACAAACGGATAATGGAGATCGGTTTGTATGTAACAGGCTACTGTTTATGCTATACAACATGACAGTGGTTCATTACTAGCGTAATACTTCAGTGCACAGTGAAAAATACGGCAGGAGCGCTATTTACTATTGTAATTTTAAATAAATACATTCTGCATTTGATCATATTTTCCAAGATGTCGTGAAAATACTTTATTTCTATTTAAAAAATGGCTAAACCACCCAGAAACTTATTATTTCACCGTAGCTAGACAAAAAATAACTCCTTTCCGACATCCCTCGACCATCCCCCTGCTGCGCCTGTGAGAGCCACTCCATGAGTATTTGAGTGTGAACTGTGAGCCAGTGTGAGCGCCACTCCATGAGTATTTGAGTGTGAACTGTGAGCCAGTGTGAGCGCCACTTACAATGAGTATTTGAGTGTGAACTGTGAGCCAGTGTGAGCGCCACTTACAATGAGTATTTGAGTGTGAACTGTGAGCCAGTGTGAGCGCCACTTACAATGAGTATTTGAGTGTGAACTGTGAGCCAGTGTGAGCGCCACTTACAATGAGTATTTGAGTGTGAACTGTGAGCCAGTGTTAGCGCCACTTACAATGAGTATTTGAGTGTGAACTGTGAGCCAGTGTGAGCGCCACTCCATGAGTATTTGAGTGTGAACTGTGAGCCAGTGTGAGCGCCACTTACAATGAGTATTTGAGTGTGAACTGTGAGCCAGTGTGAGCGCCACTTACAATGAGTATTTGAGTGTGAACTGTGAGCCAGTGTGAGCGCCACTTACAATGAGTATTTGAGTGTGAACTGTGAGCCAGTGTTAGCGCCACTTACAATGAGTATTTGAGTGCGTCGTCGAGCTCCATGATGGCTGCCTGGTTACCGCAGCGGTAGCAGTAGTTGGGGGCAGAGAAAATCGTCACCACGTTACGGTCGTGGCACCTGAAAACAGCGGGGAAAAAACGGAGAATGTAAGCTCGAATGGAGTATTAATACAACTATCGCAATATCATATCCATTCTGAAAAATAGTATGTGTCGCAATCTCAACATTCATATCAATCAAGGATATTGCAGTAGCTTATAATCGACCAAGGTAGCCACTTCAATATCATCGAACCATTGTTGGTTAGATCGCAGACTATCACATAGAGATATCGGACTACCTTTATAACGAACACGTCCACTTGCCCCACGGGCCACGAGACCGTCCACTTTACTGGCCAGTGATAGCCGCCACCCCTTCCTAAACCCAGTCCTCTCATATTACCAGAAAACAGCGCCGGGTCTTCCATGGACTGACCAGCATCCACTATACACTACCCTCTATCTTTCCCTGAGCCCACGAGTCCTGCCCTCCCAAACAACGAACGCCTGGGCGTCCATTGTTCAGTTGCATCCCTCCATAACGAGCTCGGATGTCTTTCCCTTCCTCCCATAGTATAACCACCGAGATCCCTCCTCACTGACCAGCTGTATCCCTCCATGACTTTTCCTTCCTATCAGAGTACAACCATCCACTGACTAGCTTTATCCCTCACTTTACGACCATCAACATGCTGTCTCCCTCCCAAGTACAGAGAAAAGCCCAGAATGCCTCCACCCCTCACTAACCAGTTGTATCCCTCCATGACGAGCTGATGGGCCCTCTCCCCTCCCCCGCAGCCCCCTCCACTCCTCACTGACCAGTTGTATCCCTCCATGACGAGCTGATGGGCGCGGCTGACGAGTGTCAGGCCGTTGCTGTGGTTGAACGTCTCCGAGATGTCCTGGCCGAAGGTGTATCCGGCTCCGCGCGGCGAGATGCCCCAGCCGCCGCGGTCGTCCGGGTCCGACCACAGCAGGTCGCACATCGGGCCCTGTCGACCGAAAAACGAGAGGGGCAGTCAGCAATGAGGTCGAATTAAGCGTGGGGAAAACGCGAGGGGGCAGCCAGCAATGGTGTCGAATCAAGCGTGGCAAGAAAGGTCGACAGACACGGGAAAGTTAGAGGTGGGGTCGAATAAAGTATGGTGAGAAAGGCCGGAGAACACAACGGGGGGGGGGGGTTAGAGGTAATATGGTACCTTGTGTGGTGAGAAGGGTCGGCGAGGGCCTCCTGTTTTGCCGACAAATGAGGTAGGATGAAACATAATTTGTAATCTACACATCAAAGATTATGACATAAAAAAAACAATAACAAACGGTAGGTAATATTGCGGTCTAATTAAGCAATAGCTAACAAACTTTCATTAATATTTCAGTGACATTGATGGAAACCAAATCCCCAGAACGTTTTTAGTTAAAATAGGCGTCACTGATCGGCGCACATAACGGCTATACCCAACACACTGCAAGGGGTAGCAGTTAGCACCACAAACCCCAAGTCTCTCTCCACGTGTTGATAAGCTCAGCATTACGCGTTACCACATGCAACGGACTGTTTCCGCTACATATTCAACTACGAATCCCTGGACTCTTTCATTCATTCATTATCCATTCATTCATTCATTAACCACACCGCGCCCATTCATCCGTGTCGCCTGTCCCAAGTGATGACGAACAAGTGGTGACGAACACACACTCCGGCACGTGCTGTGCGGCGGCATTGCGACACGTCGTGACGTATTTGTGACGTCACTGGGTCACTGATAACGCCGCAGCCCTCCGGCCAGCGCCCCGAACGCGCAGTGGGTGGACGGGTCACCCACCCAGACGACTTGACAGGTCTGCAGCAGCAACAAAGAAAACACTCTTCGTCTCTCTGCCAAACGATTTAGCGCTTTATGCTTCTGCAAAATTTTGCCGAGAACTCGGATTTGTTTTTTTTCAATAGAACAAAAAAAAACTTCTGCTATAGAATTGCGCTGAACCTAACACCAAGCAACTGATCTTATCGATATCGTGAATCAAAATGACACCAGAATTGTGGTTCATTACACAATACACATCATCCACGCTGAAGAATCGTGCTTCTAATCAAAGTTTATTTCTGTGTTAATAATCATACTCGTATCTGTGTTTATCTTAACAGTTTAAGGTCCCGCTGTTGACCCCCACCCATCCCCGCCCCCGTCCTCTTCAGCTGCGACCTTGCCGCGTCCTCGGGGGGGGGGGGGGGGTACAGGTGCGAGTACTGAGTGATACGGGCGTCCCGTGCCCCTCCCCTCCCCATCGCGGGGGTCTGATTACTAGTGCCAGCTCAGCGGGTATAGCGAGTAAAGGGCATACGAATATAGCTGACGAAGCAGAACGATGGGACAACGCTGCACAACGTATCCATGGTTCAGCAGCCGATGAGATCACAGCATCCAGGACGGAGCTCTCAAGTCTCAACGGCTGCTGGCAAGGGTCAAGGAAAAAAAGGTTAACTGCTTTCCCTGGTTTAGCAACCAATGACCTGTCACCATCCAAATGCTCTCAACGGCTGCTGGCATGACGAGAGATCTTCAGAGATAAGCCAAGGTTCAAGGAAAAACTGTAAACTTGGTCAAACGAGAGGCGACACGCCAACACCCGATTCGAAGAGCGATGGAGCAGAAATTATCCATTGAACTCACGAGACGCAGACGGTACGAACGCTTACAATCCAAACGAAACCTTGGCATTGCCTGAACGATGGACCTTGTACGTAAATATTTAATAACGAACCTTCAAACCACCGTGTATTTCTGTCACATATCTTGTCATTAGCCATGTAAGATATCTTGTCATTAGCCATGAGGTTATAATCACACACACCGGGGTCAGAAGGTTCACCAGCGAAAAGGTCATGGCATACGCATGCTCTTCACTGGAATTGCAGCTTCAGCTATTTGAGGTTGGTCATTTGTTAGTGTTGGGAAGTTACGACACATCGGTCCTCGACGTTATAACTGGCCCGTGTCAGCGTTCTAGCTCACTGCCGTTTCGTGACCCACACCCGTGCGTCAGTCTGGCTACAAGGAACTGGTCCCCGAATAGCCAAACTTGTCCGCTCCCTAGCCCAGTAAGCTTCCGTGACAACTGATCCAGCGCTGGTTGTCCGCCTCAAGAGACTCAAGCGAGTCGGCCAGGGCATTTTCCTCGAAACATAACGCTGTATATAGCGTACTAGCAGCGAGGGGATGCTGTCTTTGGGGTGCATACGCAGCACGACTCCCAAATCAGACGTTTCAGTCATTTTACAGGAACGGCGAGAGACACTAGTTATGTGAGCAGTAAAATGAAATTATTAGTCAATGAACGATTAGCTTTTCCAAGAAATATATGCCGTGGCACGATGAACCTAGGGACTAGGTTCCCATTATTGTGTAAAATCTCCTCCCTCCGCCCGTCCGTCCTTCTATCCTATCCTATCCTATCCGCCCATCTGTCCCTCTGCCCCCTTCACCACCACCGCAAGCCACGTCCGGGTGGGTGATACCCCGTCCCGTACCGGTGCTTTTCCTCGTGCACCATGTACGGACCGGCCGCACTTGCGATAGGCTGTTTGCAAGGAACACATGACTGTCCTGCGCGGCTCGACAGAGTTGCGAGATCCGAACGAAAGTGAGGAACAGTAGATGGGAACTGGGCATGAGAATCGGAGTAGGAAACAAGGGAAAACAAGACAAAACAAGGGGCCAATATGAGCCGCAGTGTCCTCTCCGGGGTACTAAATCTACAAAATATGTTCTAAAATATTGCAAAGAATTTCCATCACAGGGATCTCAAATCCTTGCCTCCGTGTCCACCAAGATTGGCGCCCAGATTGGCTGATAAATAATGCATGTAGCAGAGCTCACTGATTGCGTCGGCCTGACAGCGCCATGAGCTTCAATAATACACCGCTCCACCCAATTCAGCCCCTTCCGTGACAGCGGTGTGACAGCACGCACCCCTTCCACCGTCATCCGATCCACCAGTGACGTCACACAATCCCCCAGTGACGTCAGCAGACGGGCGGCAAACGTGGCACTGATTGTGAATCAGCCAACACACAGGTCGCAGCGAGTGCGGGGCTGACCCAGCGATAGGCACATGATCTCGATCTCGGTGGGAGAGCTAGTCGATAACAGACCACAGCGGAGGTGAGAGGAGGTCGTGCCCTCCCCTCCCCTACTGCAGTAAAGGTCCGTCGTAATCGGTGGTAGATAAGGAGACCCCACGCGAGCAGTTCGAAGACTTGCTCTGTGCAACAGTTTCATGGGTAGAGACATGATTCTCACCTTCCCAGTTACCTGATTCATTTATCGCTTCTTTGTTTGTTCCTTTCTTTCCACACTCGCAGGCTGATACGTCTACCATAACTAGCTCCCGAGACGATCTAACCCAAGGCTCCATAGAAACCTCATCTACCCAGTAACCACCCAGCTGACCAGCCCCATTACCTGGCTGTGAATGACGTCACACACCGGCCAGTGACGTCACACACCGGTCACGGACCGGACCCACCAACCGACCGGTTGGCGCCGGCCCGCTCCAACCGGGTCCGCCACATCTGATGATGGACCTACGAGCGACTGGCGACTGAGTCATCGCTCATCGCAACCCAGCCGACTGCGGGGCCGTGCGAGGTCGTCCCAACTGAGCCGTGCACACTGCACAATGCATGGTTTGCACGGTGCTCAGTGCATAGACGGTCACCATCGCAAGGTCATCAGACGTTGGAGGTTCGAGCAGAACATGTCAGACTGGAAGGATATGCGAGTCAGGTCGCGGACGGTGCGTCGCCAACATAATTTCAAGAGACTTGACCCCAAAAGGACAGATAGAGATCGTGAGACAGAACGCATTGCTCTTTGACCGACTTCCATTGTAAGGACTTCAAGCAAATGTCCTCAGTCTTGGCATATGATAGTGTTACGCTAAGTAGGTGAAGAGGGGCGAAGGAGGCCCAAAGACGACTCCGCTGGAGGGTGACCTCGGTCTAGTTTCGGCCGCACAGACCCGGTGAGATGTCCGTGACTGGCGTCACGGCGACTCCCGTAACTCACGAGCGTCACGAAAACGACCGATAGTGAGAGCGTGACTCTTGGGCGAGGAGTGGAGAGAGGAGACAGGGAGAGAGCAAGAGCCATCAGCCATGAAAACAACCTCCAGACATGAGTACCCACTACCCAAGTGCCTCGCAAAATCAACAGCGACCCCCGGGGTATAGTCTGAAACTTTCCAGGGCTTGCAGGTCCATCCAGACCAAACATAACAAATGATGGCCTATTCAGAACAAAGCCTTGCAGATCCGATTATGAGTACCACAAAGGACCATGGTGGTTAGATTTTCCGCTTAAATCCATGCACAGCGTCATAGCTTGCAGGGAGGACGTAATCCACCTGCAGCTATCAGGTGTCCCCACAGCTGTCCGCGAGACACTGCGGCCTCGTTAGCTCCCCACCCCTCTCCTCAAAGGAAGTCTCCCCCCAGCACAGCTGTTCTGATCAGGTGCAGCTCTACCCCGTCCGTGACCTTCGCACAGCCACAGGCAGTTCCTGGCGATTTCGCACATCAGCTGAGACGAAGTACCCCGCCAACCTCATCACGTGGTGAGAAACTGTCTCTGTCAAGACGCGAACAGCCTCTGATGTCGAGGGCCGACGTTATAAACAACCGGAGGGAAACATTCGGCACATATACAAACCACGAGGTCACCTCACTTCACAGGTTGGCCATTCAACCGAGCCAGACGGACCAGGCGAAGCTGGCCGCGACGATGGCCTTGGCCACGTGCGCTACAGAGCTCTTCCGGTCGTGTCCCTGACCCTGACCAGCTCTGCGCCAGAAAGGAATGCATGGAGCCACGGGGAAGTGGTGCGATGCACGAACCGGTTGAAGAACCCCATAGCCAGGGCCGAATCGGATTGACTAAAAGCTGTGCGCTTAAATTAGCAATCAACCAGGCTGCGTGTCAAGTCATACATC